CCCTATCATCAGGAATGAATTGGTACTGAGGCTCAGATTTTATACTAAGAAAATTTGAAGAATTAAAGGCCCAGAGAACTCATTCTGGAGGTGCCAAAAACGTATTAAAATCTATATCATTTTGATTTTGTACGAAGACACTGTCAATGAATCAATCAATCCCTGCTGAACTGAAATTAAAGAAGTGTGTTATACCTTAATATATTCCCTTGTGTTTTTCTGTAATGAACCTGTCCCTTTATGCTCCGAAATAACCATTTTAAACTTTACAAATAACAATAACTTAACCAAACCAGTTGGATGAAAATATCATCAAAATAATGCTACTCTTAATCTTTTGTAATCCGTAGTAAAAATTGAAATAAAAATCTCTTATCTTTGAACTTTTGGCGACAAACCCTTTTCACCCAGTCTGTTTGTTTACTTTCAATTTCAAAAGCATTGTTAAATATGTTATTGATAAAATGTTACAATGTTTATGTAAATTGTTGAAATATTTTAGCTATGACTATGCTAGTTGACTTTCAGGTTAGACTAGAGCAGACTGATTGTCTGACAAAAATGTGAAGTGAATGGAGTTTTACTTGGGCTAATGAAGACGGGCAACACCATGCAGTGTGCAATGTAGGAAACTTCGCCAGGATAGCGGCATTAGCCTACTCTTTTTCGATTTCCAACTGTCAAGGGATCTTTAACATGCACAGCCTGTAACACACTGGACCTTGGTTTATTGTCCTTAACAACTGAACAACTAGACAGTCTGGTCAGCCTCTCTGACCTGCATCACTGACAATAGGGAAACCAGATTGAAAAATCTAAAGGTATTATCTTGAAATTGTTTGACAAGCTTAGAACAATGAAATATGTAGAAAACAGTTGGAGTGCAGCAAGGGGACCATTTCAAACCTTACTTATTTTACAGCCTTATAAATATTCTAGATATTAGATAGCCGATTTAATTAAAATCTCCATTCATACTTAACAATGGTGTCTGTTGTGAGGTCATAAACTTGATAAACTTTTATTGTCCCCGAAACACTCCTGTGAATGCCAGTGGTTTAAAATTTACAGATAAATTGCTGTAAACATGTTGGTTTTGGAGACTTGTTTTTGAGGTTTTAACAACAGTGATTATATTTGATATCTACCTGTAATACCTGTATAGATCATAATAGATTAAAATATTCTATTTTATAATTATCTTGATTAAAATTCCTAAGACTTGAGTATCATACCCACAGGCTTTCAAAAATATTAACCAAAATAGCTACATCGTGACTTCAGAGTTACATTAAACTATTTCTAGGTGTGAAATATTCTATTTTTAATACATCTTGATTTATTTTCAGGTACAATCTATGTTTTTAAAGTACAGAGCAAAATAACAATTATTATCTGTGAGTCTAATTTCCAATGAATGTACCATAAAATATAATTTCAAAAAACCTAAAACCATGAGATAAATTGATCACAAGATGTAAACTGACATGAAAAGGGATCTTGTTTTTATTTGGGGCTGTATCATTTTCTATTTAAACTGTCTTAGTGTGAAATTGTAGTGTTAACCTCCTATTAAAGTTAATGAGCATGGACGACCTCGGAGCAATAAAATAACCTTGAAAGCCATAAACTGTATCAAAAGATTGAAACCTGGGTATAGAGTTACTTGCCCCCACTTTACGACTTGTTTTTCAACTATTGTCTACCTGATGAAAGAATCGTACAGACAGTGAAAAATATAATAATAATAAACTTATTAAACTTTTACCTGACCTGAAAATTTGTCTGGCGTTTAGTTTTATTGGTGATAATAGAGTAGATATTTTATAATTACTGCCTGAGAAACTTTCATTCATTTTGCTTTATTACATGATTTTCAGTTTCAAAGATTTTAAGGCAATTGAGAAGCATCTTAACATCTTAATTTTCAGGCTACACCAGCCATAGCTTGTTGCAGCTTCTCTCTGATTTTTTGTTAACTTTTCAGGAAACTTATACAAAATGAAGCAGTAACATGAAAGCAATAAGAATACATATTCCTGATTAGTTTAAAACAGGCAAAGAGTTTGCAATTCCTACTTTATCCATTTGTATATCACTATCATTTTCAAAGTTAAAAAGTCAAAAATAATCTGAATGAAAAATTCCCCTCAAAATAATTGCCCTGGACTCAGAGTGCTAGTCTATGGCCAATGACGTTTATGGGGGGTGGGCCCTTGTGTCACCCCTCTCCCCAATTTTTTCAATTACTTTTATAAGTTTTTACCAGCCCCTGACAACGACTATCAGAGACTGGTATTTAGATATTAACCTATTGCTCTACTAATAAACCCAACAACCAGGGTATTTCGGCCACCGTTGACCTGGTCAGTGAGGGAGATTAGTCTGAGAATGACCAGATATTTAACTGGATTAGAGACCAATATCCTGACTCTGAATACAACATAGATACACTACCACTGATAATTGATAATATATATAATATAAACTCTTCAAAGATGGGTTTTCTTATTTCACTATCTTACTCTTCTTTTCTTAGTTAAGAATAAAAATATATCAGAGATGATTTCTAAATCATAGTATTAAATAATGTGGTTTACAGCAGTAACATGAACATTAATACAGAATTCAGTTGATGATCAGATCATTTTAATGATATGATACAATACCTGGTTTTAACTGTAGCTATTTAAACCCATGACATTGAAATGAAATTCTTATATTGATAACTGAAGAGAAATGATTTATGATGGCGTGGTGCATATTGAAATGAAATGAAATGTCAAACCCACGGCACTGAAATGATATTTTATATTGATAACTGAAGAGTAATGGTGGTATGAATATTGAAATGAAATGATGATGTGATTATAATAGAATCAAGACAATATATCACAGCTGAAAACAAAATATACACGAAAATAAAATAAACAAAAAATAAAATGAGGAAGACAACAGGCTAAAGGGAAGCTGAAAACATAATTCTGAAATAAAACACACTAGAAAACTAGGTACTATGGGGTATACTACAGACAATATGGGCATATTTTATATTTCAAAATGAAATCGTCAACAAGACTTCAGATTACAGTAGGTACAATTTTAAAATGGTGTTTTCAGTTTTACACTGTTGTTGTTTTTTCTTTAAATTGATCTTTGTAGAATTTGGGAGTTGTCATTGTTTAAAAAAATATTTAAATATTAAATTTCAATGAGATCTAAAATGTACAACAACAAATATTATCAGAAGATTTGTTATATAGAAGAGGGGCCAGGGTCTTTGATAATCTAAGGACAAATCTACAAAATAAACGACAGATACAGAAAATATAGATCTAACTTCAAGAAACATCAATCAGACCAGCGAGAAGCCAGACAAGCAGAAAATGACTGAAAGCTTACCATTGCTAGAAGATACAATGGAAGCTGGATCGACTGATGAATTGGCATCTAAAAAGGGTGGAAAATAAACTCTGTATTCTCGTATCTGAGGGTGTATTTCAGTTATACATGATTTATTCAGTTATTAATATTTTTCTAGTTTGAGCTTCTCAAGAGAAACGTTGTAGCTCTGTTAGTTTGATTCTGATCTGTTGTTTTATAATTTTGTTGCCAGGCTTGTTTTGAATTTAATCTAAATCACAAGATGATATTTTATAAATGGCACCAGGATGATCTGATCTAAAGACATTCTGGAATCTGGCAGGGATTGTTTCAAAGCATCATCTGATGATTGTGTGGCACTCCCAAAAATTAAAAACTGGTTCATTTCAAAAGAAACTGATCATTGTTAGTACCAAAAAGAGTTCAATAATTCATCAAAATTGTCAACTGTAGTTAGACATTGCTGGCATAAAAGATCAAATCAGTATCTCTGATGTTGAAAGCCTCTATCATGAATAAATGAATGAATGAATGAATGAATGAATAAATGAATATATCATGATATAACTGAAACAACATGAGAATTATGATAAAGGGACCAAAGACTGTTACATGAAAACAGAATGTTATAGCAAATAGTAGAAAACAACTTGCTATATTCAGACATTTCCTGGCCTTAATCGAATATTAATACCTTATTTAGACATAATTTAGATGATAGGAAATACAGTAATAAATCTGTTATAAAAGTCACAGTTCTTTTTCTATGTTATTTCAAAACTTTTAGAATATTCATAAAAAATACTTATGCTTTCCAAAACTTCAATTTTTTTTTAATTTTCTAATAATCTTTCTAAATTTATGTAAATTTTGGACTAATCAACAAGAATCAAGAACTTTACTGTTTTCCAAAATCTTTCCTGTGTTCAAAACCTACTAAATTTAATAATTCTGTCTGAATATAGCAACCAAATTAGTAAAAAAATTTAAGCTTGAAAAATTAAGCAAAATGTTAATAAAAAATTAAAGCATCAAAGTTGGTTTGTATTGTGTTTTCTGTTAAATATGTTCTCAGGACTGTTGATTTTTAAATAAAAACTGGCCCTGCCGGTCAAGTCTGGCAAATAGAGCCAAATGAACAGTCATGGGAACAGTTTCACAAAAAAAATCTTACAATAAGAAAGGTAAATTATAAGTATTTTTGTAAAACAGGACACTGGTATATCATGTTGTATATATTTTTGTAATACAATGTATCTAAAGTTATATAGGTAAATGAAAGAAGTGTAGACATGAGAATAAGTTCTTTGTGTCTAACTTCAATAGGGACGCAGGCTGAATCATATAGGTCAGTTGTGAAACTCTGAGTAACAACAACCTGTTTTTTTTGGTTCTGTTTTATTATTTCTAGGTATATGAATGTATATATGCATGTATATTACAGTTTGTGTATTTGTGTATATTCTTAAAGAAAACATTAATCAACAGAAAAAAAATCTTCAAAATATGTCGTTTGCACTAAAACTTCATGTTGTCTGTTTACCAAAGCAATAATGCTAGACAGGAATAGCCAAAAGACTGAACCAATGCAAAGCTAGGGCCTGATGTCAAAAACTTCATTTTTTACGATTTTCTACATAAATAATTTCTAAAAATTTGATACAATATTAAACATCATAATGTAACAATGTTTTTGACAACAGACCTGAGGAATGAACGAAACCCATTCAATGTTCTCAAACCAGCAATGAAGGTACCGAGCCATTCAATGATTATTAAAACTGTGCATAACAACTCTTACCTTCGACTATTAATTTACAGGACTGGGTTGTCTCCCCTTGTGAGTTGACGGCACGACAGGAATAAACTCCCTCATCCTCGGGGAAAACTTCGGTTATCTGTAGCTGACAATTGTCTCCTATTGTGCTTATTTGGTAAACCTGAAATTACCGAAATCTGTTATAAGAAAGGCGAAATATCATGTTTAAAATTTTATTTAAATACAAATCTGCGCTCATCATGATAATTTCGAAATTATTCATTCAAATTTATCCAAAACAAAGTTTTTATTTACTTTATTCTGACCATAATTCGAAATAAACAGCATTTAGATTTTAAGAAAATACAGAAAGATGCTAGAAAGTTATTTGAATATTCAACTGTTAATCAATTAAGATGAAATTGTTCAATCTGGAATATAAAAGGTATCACGCTAAACAAAATAAACCACATGAAAATTCCCATTTTAAAATCAATTTCACTTAAATATTACCTGTCCATCAAGAAGTTCTTCACCATCTCGTAACCATGTGACCTGGGGGCGTGGTTCACCTTTGACCTTACATTGAAATGAGGCTGTGTCACCATCACGACAGACTAGATCTTGTAATTCGGATTGGAATTCAGGTTTAAAGCTGAAAGGAGACAAGAGTTATAATATTTATGGTTGTAGTGGTGTCATCTATTAGTCGTACACGTTGTAAGATAATACAATCATGGTACTATTACCTATATATCATATCTTTCATCAATAAGAACATAATAGATAGGGATTGGAAAGGGATTCGAATCTTTTATGTGTATTGGAAATTCTTATATCATTAATTTGAACAAATTCCAATTTTCAGCCTGAAGTCTGTGATCCCTGCAATTCCACCAAAAGTAAGCGTTTTATGTGACACTAACGCACAAGCTGAAATTGATACCCAAGGACCTTTGCGATAGTGACGTCATAAAATTTTTAGAAAACCTCTTCACAATCCCTCTAATAATCTATTATGTTCTTATTGTTGGATGAAAGATATGATATATAGGAACACATGGTGGAATGATACGACTGAGTTTCTCAACTCTCCATTTCAGACTCAGAATTGTACCAGACAGTCTGGTTTGATTATCATAGATATTTCACAAAACTTAACTAAACATGATTATAACATTCTGATTGGTCAAAAAATTAAACTTATCTTAGATTTACTTTTATTAACCAATCATATTACAGTATTCACAAGTTAAAATTCCAAAAGGTCCGTGTTTAATAAAAAAAAATAAATGTTTTTCTATTTGAATAATACAAAATGTCACTTACTTTCCATCATCAGATTGAGTTTTCGGTGAAGAAGGAGACGGAGATTTAGATGATGTTTTTGAAGGTTGAGGTTTGTCTGAAATAAAATAACAAGAAAATAAAACAATCATCTATAACACTAGAATATTTATAGTTGTAATCTCGTTAAAATCTTCACAAACAGGGTACTAGTACTGTTAGGATATTTTATAAACACCAGGTACACTGATGGCTGCTGATGATTCTCATAGATCTGTGTTATGTAGATTGAAATGAAACTGATTTTAATGTTTCAGTCATCGAATTGGTGAAATACTAAAATCAACTTTATATTCTAAAACCTAATCTAAAATTTTCAAGAATCTGATATTTAATTAGGTGACATTTTCATTATGAACTGAAATTCAAAAACTGTTATTCTAAAGCTTCAAGAAGTCAATTTGGAGCTCCAGTCAGACACGACTGTCAAATACGTCCAAAATAACCATGGTTGCAACCACAAGGCTGTACGGTTTTGAATTATATTTGGGACAGACACATCATTAATTCTTTCGAAGAGAATTTTTAAGATCAGGGAAAGGACAAGACTTCAGTAGATCTAAGATTCTTATTTTGATAATAACATTGCCAACTTATTGTAGAATTGTTTTTTTTTGTATAAACAATATTTATTGACATAATAGGATTAGGGAACAGGCTTTCGTCTTTAGTACCCTCTCCTTAAAGTTATATTACCTGTGACATTCACCCAGGATCTTGTTTTAATGATAATTTTATCAGGGAATGTGGCAACACAGGCATATAATCCACTGTGTTTATCACTAATATTATTCAGACGTAGTGTTTGAGTTCCATTTTCATCAGACCAAACATCTCTAGTTATCTGTTGAAGAAATAAAATTAACTGAGTGTATAAATAGTTCATTAGCTGTAACCAATGTTTCGTCAAACTGGTATTTTAAATTTCAAGTTTAGTTTTGCGGTTCAGATTATAAGGACCTGGGTTTTTTATTTCCTTGTTTTCTGCTACTGCTTACTGAAATTGGGCAATGACATGAAATCTCTGCCAGAACAACAGCAGACCCGTAGCTCGAGGTAGAGAGGGGGGCCAGGCCCCTCTTAAGAAAATTTTGCCCCTCCCCCCCCTGAAAAATTTAAATGACTTAAATGACATGTTGAATCGCTATAGTTGAGCCCTTCTAAAAAATTTGCCCGACCCTGGGCTAGCTACGGGCCTGGACAACAGCATAAGCTTAATGACTATTCATTTCTAACAGTCCAAATATCTTCAATGAAATAACCATCTGTTTTCCTGCACTCAATTGAGCAAATAATTATAGGTGCATTTTGACAGGACAGCAGTATAAGCTGTCATAATGTCCTTATATTTCTAACTGTCAAAAGATAGCCTGGCCACTTCTTGAGAAAAAACACACGAAAAGTTCAAGATGGCTTCAATTGTTGAAAATCTAATCTGTAATTACCTGTTTACCATCCTTCTCCCAGACAATTTTTAAAGCTCCTTCAATTTTACAAACTAATTCTAGATTATCTCCCTTTACAGCTGTCACCTCCTCTTCTAAGGGCTTGGTAAAAGTTGTGGGTAGAGTTTTCCTGAAAACAGAAAATGATTATGCAAATTTCAAGTGAAATTGTGAATTAAATTCAGAATACTAAAATAGATAGTCAAAATCTAAACATTGCTCTTGTGGATACAAAGTTTCAGTGATACTCATTTGGGGTCCCTCAATCGAGATTCATGTTCCTTGCTAACAGAATTGGGGGTGAAACTAAATACTGAAATGCCAGCCCACTCCTGGGGTCTTAATTACAAAATTTAAATTTAGAATGATTTCAACTGTATTTTCCTCTGATTAGTCAATCATTTATTGATGTCAAATTCAAGTTTTGGACGAGATATTTGATTGAAGCAATTATCTTGATTAAATCTAAATCAGGATTTCCAGAAATCTAGGACCAAAAGACTTACTTTGATTTGGCTCTTCTCTCAACCTTAGGCGTAACTGGTTTCTCGATTTCAATATCTAATCTGGCGAAGCAGGAATCAGCTCCAGCTGGGGACGAGATGTTGACAGAATATTTACCTTCGTCTGGTTTAATTATTTCAGCGATACGGAGCTGATGTTTACCTCCCTTGGATATTAGTTTAAGGGAATCGCTATTTTTTATTACTTTACCAGCCTTAGACCTGCAATAGAAAGTACATAACAATGAAATGGAGTTATGTGTCCTATTTTTGAATACTTTTTTTGGACATATGAAAAAAGGTTTTGCTCATAAGAAAAACACAGCAATGCATCATTAAAGTTGTCTTTTACCTAAAAGATGTGTGGACTGGATTCCAGTAACTGATTCTGAAGGTGAACGAGCACATGAACTTGACTCCCTGACACAGCTATTATAAGCAAGTTTGCAAAACTAAAGACTATTAGTTCATATCTGTTGAGAATGGAATTTGAGTCAAGTCAATTGGAATTGATGTATTGACTCACCAAGCTAGAGTAGGGGTGGGGTTTCCTCCCACTTCACATTCCAATATGGCCTCACTACCTAGGGTTAGGTAGAGATCTTCTGGCTTACGAATAAAATACGGGGCTACCATGTCTTCTGAAATAAAACAGTGAGAAATGTATAATTAGCTGTGAATAATTACTTGTATCACCATCTTAAATGTAACGTCATAAAAATCATGTCTACCACATTACGCATGCTCCTGAGAGAAGTCGCTTGTTTTCCTCTTCACCTCAACTCTAGTCACCAGCTTGGCAGATCATCTGTATATTAACTATGTATCGGGTATGATGATTAAACCAACTCAGTTATAAATACTCAACAGTAGTCCTTATTGCCTCAGCAGATATCATAACATTGAAAACATCTTCAATATTCTACCATATTGCTACTATTTCTTCTAGTACAATCAGCAAAATGAACTTTCCATTTTCTTTTGAAAACTTATCAGGGTTCATGCATAGGGTATAGTATGTATATGGCCTATACATATCTAATTGAGACATGTAGCCATTAGTAAGGATCTTTACCTTCTTTAGGTTGATCAACATCTTTAGGTTTGAGTTTAATGATAGGTTTATCTGAAGGTTTATCTGTCATCGGCACATAATCTCCTTCAAAACCTTCATCTTCTAGTTTCGCTTTCTCTTTTTTACTGTCTTGTAGATGCCAAGTAATTCGTTCCTGTCCATCTTTTAATATACAGTCCAATCTAACATTCATTCCCTCCATTACATCTATATTACGTGGCAGGTGCTTGATAAAGAATGGAGCTGAAAATAAATTTTAAATAAAAATTCAGAACAGAAAAATAATTGTCAAAGATCATAGAACTGTAATGGATGGACCATCAACTTGTCACTCTATTAGCCTACAGTTCCTGAACAATAAGGAAAGTATCTGGCACTACAAAACATAACAATAAACCCTAATTAATGAAACTGTTTCTAATAAAACTTTCTTAACAAATATTACAATCAAATATACATTTAAAATGACTAGAATAAGCCACCTAAATAATAGACCAGACCCGTAGCTAGTCCAGAGTCTCAGGGGGGCCACATTTGTTTAAGGGTGCTCAACTATAGCGACTCAACAAAACATTTAAGTCATCTAAAGTTTTCTAGCTATGGGCCTGCAATAGACTTCAAATCTTTCCTGCCAATCTTCTCAATTCAAGTTGAAATAATATACAAGTAGTTATAAATATACAATGGCTAGAATAAGGTGTCTAGACAATAGACTGTAAATCTGATGATGTTCATAATTTCAAGTTTTAATAAAATAGTTATAGTATGAGTAAAAATTCTTAAAAACAATTTAATAAAAATAGCAAATTAAAGCATATTATTAGTTGAGTTTTGCTGTAAAAATTGTAGCAGAATGACAAAAGTATATTGAAGAGCGACATTGAATTTGGTTCAATTGCATCTGAAAATAATATATTACTCTGCTGATAGAACCAAAACCAAGCTATAGATATAGTAAGCCTAAGGTAAAAGTTTACACTTCAAATAATATTAAGGGTGATAATTTAATATACAAATAAGCAATAAATGTTATTTCTCTTAAACAAAACAGATACGAAGATAAGAATCTGATGGATTGCAGTAAAAGCATAAAGAGAGCAAGAAATATGTTTGAGTTTCCAAGCTATATGAAAAATAAAAGAAAATGCTAAGTAGCTGCCATATTAGCTGAATCCTCCAGAATTAGAAAAATTCTTCCTTAGTATAAGCAACGAAAGCATTAAAAACCAGCAAGGTTTTAATCAGAGCAAGAGTTAACGATGCCCTAACACCACAGTGATTACCAGTTGTGTATGGTTGTGAATAATGAAAGTGGTTATGAGCACCTAATATATCTTACAGCTCAGTAGCTTGAGAGTTGCGTTCGAAACTTACTACCATTAATCGTAACCACACACAATTAGTGATTGCTATGGTGTCAGAGCAAGAGTAAGAATCAAATAAAAAAATGTGAAATTCCTACCAATGGGTGTTCGTCCATCTAGAACCATAAAAACAAAATTATTACAATTCAATATTTCAATGCATGACCAAAATTTAAATGTGACATCATAAAATAATGATAGATAATAATAATAATAATGATTCGACTTACCAGCTCTCTTTCTGGTTGGTCCAAATTCTGGTTCACTGACTAATGGATGGACATCACTGAAATACATTCATATGAAATTATGCCACAGTTTTTGATTTCACCAGTCATATACAAATTGAAGTTAGGAAAGGGTGCGTATTATACTCGCAAATATACAGTATATGTATTATAAATAGTAACTCATGACTGAGGAGGTTTAGAAAGTGGTGCGTATTGTACTCGCAATTATAAAATATATGCATTGCTTATAGTAACTTATAAAAAAAATGTTCATGAGGTTTTGTTGATATCTTTATTTTGTCCAGGCAGGTTACAGTGACAGAGAGTTTCCAGATTAACTGGAGGATCAGAAGGTGTATATAGTTTATAATATTCTCAATTATACTCTAGTATCTTATCTTATGACTTATCCTCATATGAATAGTTCATTTGCTGCAACCAATATATTGCCAATATGTTATTTTGGATTTCAGGTTTCGTTTTGAAGTTCAGATCATTAGTACATGGTTTTGACTTTTAATTGTGACTAAGCCAATATTGAGATGAGAAATAAAAAATGAACATACCCTTCCATGCCTTCAGGTCTTGGTTTAACTACGACCTTACATGAAGTCTCTATAATACCAAATACATTGGTAGCTCGGACAATATACTCTCCTGAATCAGTCAACATCACAGACTGTATCTCAAATGTATGCATCAAACCTAACATCATAATACGGTGACGACTGCCGTAAGACAGATCGCGATAGCCCTTGTGCCATGTGACTGAAAAATGAGGAAACAGATTATTGATAGAGCGTCACACAATTACAAGACTGACACATGTCTGTCAAATCTTTTGTCATTTATTTCTTGAGTAGTATTTCTACTTTTACTTTCCCAATAAAAATCGAAATTCTCTTATTTTGCTTTTTGCCATTTATTGTAGACCAAATGATAGCCAGCTAGCTTGTTTCTTCTGCAATAGTGCAACGGCAATGTTTTTGCAGTTCAGACCAATTTCAACATCTTTTGAAAGAATCAATAAATAAGACAACCTACCCATTGGTGGAGGAAGACCATCGACAGAACAATCTAATTTTAGTTTCTCTCCTTCCCACAATTCTACAGTGTGTTGTAATTGTAAAGTGAAGTTCGGTGGTTTGCCCGGTTCTGTCAGCTGTTCGGGAGCGTCGTAAATACGTTCTGCCCAAACCTTCTGGAGATGTTCGTCACGTTTCTGTTTCTCGCGAGGAGGTGATCTGGCTGCAGCTAAAAATAAAATTAATATTTTGAGGGCTTGTGAAAAAATGAATTGAAAATGAAACCGATATTTTGAGAGCTTATGATTGTGAATTGAAGAAAATTGAAAATGAAACCCATATTTTGGAGAATTTAGATTGAAATTTCAACACAAAATGAGTTTCTTGTCACAACAATCCAATACATTTCAATATAAGTTTTGTGTCCCTGTTGCAGGACTGAAAGAAGTATATCTTAATAACAATGTTAGAGTAATGTTGAACTTTTTTAGAGGAAAATCTTTTTTACGAAAAAACAAAAGATTTATTTCTTTTCACATGTCATTTCAATAAGGTTTCATAGAATATTTCATTCAGAAGTTTGTATTTCTTCCTCACCTTTGACTCTGAGTGTAGCTGAACATTTACATCTTCCAGATTTACTATAGGCAATACAGTAGAACAGACCAGCATCAGATCGTTTAGCTTTCTTTATAATCAGTTTAGCAGTACCATCACGTTCAGCTATTACCGTTATTCTAGAGGAATCTGTTAGCTCTATCATATCTTTTTGCCTGTAATGAGAAGTTATAGTATATAACAAACATAGAAAATCATGTACTAGAGAGAACAAGGAGGAAGGGAGGAGAGGGAGCGGGGGTGACTCCAAATGGATATTAAAGTTTTATTAGTGCTTAGTGTCTACCTAGCCTTAGTGCTACCAGAATCCCTTTAGAGTTCTGTTATAATTTTTGGCCTATAAAGAGTTTTTTTTTTTTTCAGATGGAGCCTAGAAACTTTAAGAAATTTAATCAAGAAATCTTTCAGAGATTTCAATCTTTCTAAAAATTAAAAATCTTTCTTTCAGAACACAAGAAACTTTCAGAAATTTACCATTTGAATTTGGGCATTGGTTTACCCACAGCAACACATTCAAATACTACTTCTTCTCCTTCCACTACACTGATATCTTGTAGTGGTGTCAGGAACTTGGGGCGGGCAAAGTCTAGTTCTGTCACCTCTTCATCTAGACCTAAAACATAAAACATGGAATCTAAGAGCTACTGAATTTTTCAATTGTTAAATACACAACATTGATACAGGTTGTTGATTTCAGTGGTTGTGCCCATCATCTAGTCAGTTACAGTCAGTTGCTAGTATGTGGTCAAATTATTGATATGGCGGTTACCCTCATGTCGGCCATGTTGGATCCAATGAGATGCTATACACCCTGACATTTCTTTTAAGAGTAAAAATAATTATTCATAGAAAGATCCTGGGTAATGAAATACAAGCAACTTCCAGTCATCTTATATAAACAACATTTACCTGATCAATTCCTATAATCATAATTTGCCAAAGTTAGGTGTATTTTGGGCATGTAAATAAACAAAGGTAGACTACTCACATTCAACATCAAGATAGGCGTTACAGGTAACTGTTCCCTCACTGTTTCTAGCTTCACAGGTATAGGATCCAATATCCTGGATTGATGCCTGTTGTATCTCCAGTGACAGTAAACCATAGTTATTCTGTAAACAGACAAGATGGAGAATTAAACTAATGATTACTGACTATTTGCTACAAAATATCATTATATTCCCTGACAATAATAGAATAATTGCATAAGGACAACACAAAGATAAAGGTTTTATTTTAATACTTATGAGTTTTATTCTTCTCTTCGTAGTTTAACAAGATAAAGAATCAAACCAATTCTTATGCCCAATTCTTTATGAAATTAGGTCTCCGACAAAAAATATAAAATCATTTAATAAAAAGACATGGGAAAAGTTTTTCCAATTTTTCCAATTTTTTTTTGGACAATTTTAACAAGTTTGTATGTTTACTGTGTTCATTGTATTGTATGTAGTAGGATTTTAAATCTGTTTCTATAGTTTGGACAAATTCGCTATTTTTTTAGGAAGAGGAGAGGCCCTTCTAATAGTCTGGATGTACACTCATATTATTCTTGTACCAAGCATCAAGATAATTTTGATAAAATGTGCCTTGCTTTTTATATTCAGATCTTGAAAACTTTCCTTTCAAATATCAAAATCTCAGAACATTTCCTGCAGTACCCTAATCTTACAGTTCTGACAACAATTAAAGTTTATCTTCTTTTTTCTCTATCAAATGCTAAGCTATGAAAACATCCTAAAATCATTTCATAATTCTGAAACCTGCTTAATATACATGTTTTCATATACCGTTAGTTCACTAAAAGTTTCCGTTTAAAGTCTTAAAAGGTAACTTCCGGAATTTTAACATGATTTGAATGGGTCTACTGAGTACTTATGTAAGTCATCAAGTACAAATGTCTGGAGGTGATACCAAGATTATTGTTTAGTTTTGACAATTCATTCATCTACTAGCTTTCAGCTTACAAAAACTTGCAGAAAATTCCTGTTACTGAACATAAAAAAAGGTTCCTACTTGTACAAGTCACACAGTACTAAAGCCCAGAAAAGTTCTAGAAAATTTCTGTTACTCAAGTGCCCCTATCCTAAAAAAAACTTGCTACTTGTATAAGTCACTTGGTACTAAAGGCAATTGGTTATATTATAGAAAATATGTTTATATATAACTTTGTATAACTTTGTATAACATATGTTGTTTTGAGGAAGGTACTTGCTGTAATGTTTGGATGTTTATAAAACAGGTGTTCAAAAATAACAGTTGAAGTCATATATTCATCTAATGATCCAGTTTTCAAGGTGATAGATCTTAGCTTCTGATATCTGTAGCACTGTTTAGAATGAAAACCTGACAACTGGTTTGTATACAATTGCATACAATAAACTGCTGTTGGAAGTGATGACAGTTTGTTTATTGGGTGTTAAGAAAATCAACTAGAAAATTTAGGAGTGAATTTAGACATGTTTAAAGCAGATAACTGAATCTGGAAAAAGATCTGTTTTGTATTTTATGGTTGATAATTTTATGAGCCAATCTGGTGTTGATTTTCAACTCCGTCCACCAAGCTCTAATATTATAGAATAAAGATAACCAGGAAGTAGGTCATAGTGCCAGGTAAATGGTAAAGGTAAAAACCTGAAACTTGATTCCTCCCACCTGGTTACAGACCAGTTTTTACTCGGTACCTTATCATACCTGACTGTATATACAGTTCAATATATAGACCAGAATTATAATCAACATAACCTAACTTTAAAATAATTTTTACAAGAGAATTTTAAATTCCCCTGCTCTTTATTCAATGAAATGAAATAGAGTTTTACATCCTACTGTTATGTATCCTAAATGTGTTCTGTACATATATTTTTTTAGTTTTATATCCCACTATTATGTATCTTATTGGACTAATCAAATGAAATATAGTTTATATCCTACTGTTCTGTATCCTATTGGACTAATCAAATGAAATATAGTTTATATCCTACTGTTCTGTATCTTATTGGACTTATCAAATGAAATATAGTTTATATCCTACTGTTCTGTACCATATTGGACTTATGAAATGAAATATAGTTTATATCCCACTGTTCTGTATCTTATTGGACTAATGAAATGAAATATAGTTTATATCCCACTGTTCTGTACCTTATTGGACTAATGAAATGAAATAGAGTTTAATATCCTACTGTTCTGTATCTTATTGGACTAATGAAATGAAATGTAGTTTTATATCTTACTGTTCTGTACCTTATTAGACTAATGAAATGAAATAGAGTTTAATATCCTACTGTTCTGTACCGTATGGGACTAATGAAATGAAATAGAGTTTTATATCCTACTGTTATGTACTTTATTAGACTAATGAAATGAAATAGAGTTTAATATCCTACTGTTCTGTACCGTATGGGACTAATGAAATGAAATAGAGTTTTATATCCTACTGTTATGTACTTTATTAGACTAATGAAATGAAATAGAGTTTAATATCCTACTGTTCTGTGCCATATTAGAATATGAAAATGAATTTGAGTTGTATATCCTACTTGTCCAACTTCAGTAGGGATGCAGGCAGTTGTCTGAAGATTGCATAGCGTGAAACTCTGAGTTCATGTTTTGGTTTATCAAAAGAATTCTAATTCTAGATAGGTAAGTAATGAAATATCAGTAATTATCTTACTAGTTTTAGATAGGTACTATAGATATGTACTATATGAAATATGGTCTGTATGAAATATTATCACAAGGTAAACTAATCAGTATAATAATTAAATAAAGTATCTACTGGTGGTAAATTACTTTTCTATAACTTACAGCTGGGATTCTAACTCTAGACAATTATGCATATCAATTACATCATATACATACTAATAATTAGGTAGATAAAAACGTAATCGCTATTATTTGTTTTATAAAGTGGTTTCAAGGTGATATCTTAGGGTTGATTAACCTGGTATAGTACAGAATGGCAGAATTGGTAAACTTATTCCTGGCAATTCTCAGATGTGATACCAGTTTCATTAAATCGTGCTTATCAATTTGTGAACGAAATGTGAATCAAATGTTATGATAATTTTCTAGGTTCTAACTTAAAATGGCAGAATTGGTAGAAATTCAGTCAATTGATATTAAATTGGTAAGTAGCGAATCAATGATCATACTATGTTTAAAAGATAATGAACTTTACATTTCTGAAATGAAGGTCATTCATACAAGAATTTGGTACATTATCCATAAAGCGAATGGTAAATCAAGTTTTATTTTTATGTTTGTTCCTCAAATTAATACAGATTGGCAAGGTGCAATTCTCAATCAATCTAAACAGAACAAAAAAAAAGACTCTTTCTTTCCAAGACTAATAATTTTGAACACATAGATTGACAAAATTATAATAGTTACACGAAATCTTCCTCAGATTTAAAATCTAATCCAGTTTTGCTGAACGAAGAGGTCGAATCTGTGTAAGATATGCAGTCTTATCTAAGATGGTATATAATGTATATGAGTGATTTTTTTCAGGAATTATAACCAAAGGTTGAAGGATTGCCCAATAATTGACAAACGTCCAAAATCGATAAAGATGCCATGAACAGATGTGAGAAAAAAGAGAAAGATTTCCTACCGAAATCGGCTCCTGATAGGTCAGCACCTCCATATTTATCCCAGATTCAATAAAGGGCGTGGTCCAAATATTTCACCAAAAATTTAAGTTCAAATGAAATATTAATCCAGGGAATCAACTAGTTTATCCAAACTTAGTGAAGTGAGTCTCAGTTCACTAATTGAATATTAGTAGACACACAGGTGATCACCAGCTGTCCAAGACTACATTCAAATAACTAGTACAGATCAACTAGTCTTTTTATATGATAAAGGTGCCTTTCAGAATGAAGTGTCATGTTTTGATTATGGGATGGTTGTCAAGGAGATATATGGTGTAAATATCAGAGAGCAGACAGGTAGAAGTGTTATGGTGTGTTCGCTACTGGTGGTAAATACCTCTCTAGCACTACACCTTACATACAGGAGATGACTTACTTCTAATATATGTTCAATCTGATTCTCTTGAATTTCTGCCAAAGTTTTATACATTTGGTGTTTATATTTGAAATGTCATGTTTTTATAAGTTTTCTCATGGATACTTTTATCTCAAACACTCTTTGTACTTCAGTCAAATGTTCCAAATCTGATGTGTCTATTATTATACAATTTGATGGATATATTTTTTTGGAAGATTTTCATCTTTTGTAAAGGTAGCTTTCAAACGTTATGTACTCATGTATTAAAGATGGGTTTCCTTAATTTTTTTAGTGTCAAATTAAGCAAACTATTTGATGAATTGGTGTAATGAATTATCATGTATTCTTAATCATATCATAAATGCTCATGTTTGTACAGTCTGGATAAACAAAAGAAGACTTTTTGACCTTTCATGATCCTTCACTCATTGGAATTCTGCTGGTAATTCTTTTCTAATTTAGCTAATTATGAACATTTGAGACAAACTGGTATTTTTCCAAGTTCCAAGAAAATAAGGGAACCCATCTTTAAAGAAATGTGTTTTATCCCATAATTATTGTCTTGTGTTATATATGTGCTCCTTGCTTCTATATGTCGTTCAAATCTTATAGCTTTATCAAGTTCTAAATATCATACATGAGAATTTCAGCATGTATATTCTATAATTATTAGAATTGTGTTACAGTAGAAGTTTTTGTACTAGTCTAGTCAAACATTGGTATCTATGCTGTAATATGGTATTAGATTTATTTGAGATAAATCGAAACCAATGAATATATAGGAAGAGAAAACGAGAGTAAACAAATCCAGTAACAATATTTCATCAATATTTTCTTACTGTTAATCGGATGAGTAAATAAACACAGCTGATCACAGCTAAAAAAGTTTTGCTTATCGAAATGGAATCAGGGACACTAGTTTTCCTTAACACGCATAAACAAGAGCTGTATTTTAGCTTCAGTATACATTTTCTTCCTTAATCCTTCCACATATAAAGCAGATTGACTGTGTTTATGTTATAAATGATCCTTGGATGTAAATAAATTACCCTTCCATGCAATACTTGAAATGTGATATAAGTATTTATGAAATAAATTCTGTTTTATGTCATATTTTTCAGCAAATGATTGGTCTAATTGAGAAAATGATTTATATTGAGTAGATAATAAAGAAATTAAACCTACCCTAACACTGTAGTGTTTGTCTTTAGTGATCTCTTCACCATGTTTAAACCAGCGAATAGACGGTTCAGGTATTCCCAGGACGGAACAGGACAATTTAACGTAGGAACCTTCCGGTACCGATTTATTTCTCAACTGTACTGTAAAGTCTGGTGGTGTCTGAAATTTATATTTCATCATTGGGGCATCAACCAGGTCTTCAGCATCTTCTCCGTGAGATGGCTCCATTTTCATTTCTGTAATAAAAATACAGGAAATAATTAAACAATATTGGTTATGTGAGGTTTGATATACTCAAAGAGGTTGTCATATTCTCTACTTAAGAGTTTCATTATCACACAGGTCATCATTATTATCAAGAAATGGGTCCTACATGACACGCTTTGATTAATATAAAGCAATGTCATAAGAACAAGACTATGGTAGAAAACTTGTTAGATTACAATGGAGGACTAAAAATATCTGTGAAACAAAATTGTGATCTATTTAATCACATTGCTCCATTATTGACTGGCCAACACTTACTCTGTATTCTGATTATAGCCTCTGTAGAAGCTGTGCCTGCCTCATTGATAGCTCTGCACATAAACGATCCTGAATCATCAATCATAGCTTCCTGTATAGAGAGAACACAGAATCCATCGTCCTCCATCTTCATTCTACATCTTCTATCTGAGTCTATTCGCTTACGATCTTTATACCTATAATTAGATAAAAACATGGTAAGTATGGCAATAAAATATATACCAGCATTAAAACAGACGCGTTTCTAAGAGTCGTTAGGCGAGGTAGCCATAGAATTGTCAAGATGGGCACAGGTAATTCTTTCTCTATGTAAAATGATAAGAAATTCAAGGGTCAGGGGACCAAAACCACACCAGCATCAATTCTGGTCGATTCAGGAGCGCATTACATCAATAGACGAGCGCTAATTTCACAGAGCTCAAGTGATCCAGTTACTTGATTGGTTGAGAACTACTTTCAATTTTATTTTCAGTCTTATGTTATCAGCCAATCAGATTACTGCATTTCCTTCAATTCTGATTCATCTATTCATGTTTTTGTGAAAAAGGGTCAGAGTGTATTTCTGAAGCTGATAGAATCATTCTTCAGCAAGGGATCAATTTGTACTCAGGGTTACCTGCTTGAGAATGACTCTAGTTGCAATAATAAAAATAATGACAAGAGCTCGGATATAAAATCCTGTAACTAACAAATACTGACCATTCTATTTGAGGTGTTGGTGATCCTGACACCATACATTCTAGTCTGGCTCGACTTCCCTCCGTGATCGTCATATTCACTAGTTTCTGGGTAAATTCTGGCGCCATACAACCAGCTGGTATTTTTTCTGAAAGTTCAAAGAATTCATTTAAAACCATATATCACTTGTTTAATCAATAATTCCAAATGTTATTATTTGACTGTTAGACTTGTTGATGGTAGAAGTAAGAAGGCATTTTGTAACAAATATGAAAATTCTTATTAAGGGACATAACTCCATTTAAGATCAATGTTGATCTTGAGCTCACAAGTTAAACACTCTGAGAATGTGGGTTGCTGGAGACGTTAGTTTTATCAAGGCTATTTATACCAAATTAAAAAATGCCGATGAAGGGAAGAAACTCTATTTAAGATCTTTAAACCATTGCACTTGCGTTCCTAGTCTAGATAGCTTGCGTCAGTGAGTTTAACTTTGGAACTTAGATAATCCAGATGATTAGTGTCAAATTTGAAAAATGTTTTTGAAGGGACATAACTCTATCTAAGACCACTACTATACTAACCTTTGACCTTGAGTTCACAAGATGAAGATGACTGTCCATGTTGGTTCGTGGCTTGACATCTATATTCACCAGAATCGGTAGTCAGAGCATCCTGTATTATCAGTCTATATACAGATTTAGATTCCTTGATATTAATTCTCTCAGATGGTATCAGTTTGATATCTCCATGGTACCAGACAACTTCAGGATCAGGTCGACCTCTCACTGGAATTTAAATTTAAATCAAAAATTGCAACATGTTATCTGCCAGGGATGCTGTTTTGACATTGAACTGTGTGGGTATACTCTCTTTGTACAGCTGGGTTATTAAAAGGTTATATATATAATTCAACTGACTGACATAAAAATGCAACCCGTAAAAGTCTTTACAGAATTTTCGAAAGAATTTTTGTCTCAGAAAAAACCAAACTTTGTGTTTATTTGAGATAAAAAATTTCCAACTGTTTCTAAATGAGGAACCTGTAGTAATAGTTTTTTTTAACTGGTTTGGATTTCTTCCAATTGTACATGTCAAAATGATAAATTCTTACTGCTGTTTTAGAATAAAAATACCAAAATAAACATTTCATTCATTCAAGTCTGACTTTCAAATAACATTTGTAAACAACAACAACATTTGTCATTTTTAGATTCAGGGTCATGCAAATGAAAGCAGAAGAATTTTGAAAAGAAATAAAACAGAACTGAAAGAAATTCAAGGCGGTGATTTTACTTCAGTGACACAACGTTACCTTTGTTTGTTTGCGTTATGAGCCTCGTTCTGGATTCAATATGGCCGACTCATGAATAAGGTCTAGGGAAGCAGTAAATAAAGTAAAACTATTACCTGTGACAGTAAGTTCGATATAATCACCAACTTGTTTAACCTGATCTAACAATGGCAGGATAAATTCTGGAGATATTTCACTGTCGCCTGTATCTAGTGATTGTTTTCTGGTTCTGAAATATAAATTCAATAATCTCTTTAGTTCTAAAATATGTTACTATTAGTTTGATAAAGATGAGAAAACCATCGTCTAGATATCACATTTTTAGATAAAGCAGTAATTGTTTATAGTCAATTAACGGTGTCACTCAGAGAAGTATATTAATTTATCACATCAATCATGGGACATTATAACATTGAGGTAGCTGAATTGTTAATAAGAGTTTGTTGTCTCTAGGATGATTAGGTGACAAGAAGTTGAATACAAAGATCAATGTGCAATTTCTTAACAATAATTGCCCTGACACCTGCAATAGGACTTATTTTAGTCTTTTTAGGGCTCAAAAACATTTAAGTTAACTTCAAGCTAATATGTAAACGTAAAGTATAGTAATTGTATTTGCAACCTACCGTAATTTCGAGGCTGTTTCTCCCTCCTTCTTCTTACGTCTATGTCTAACCTCTACAATAATTAACATAAATCATTAATTAAAAAGCAAAAAAACATGGAAGTTAATAATTTAGAATTGCACTGGAACATTACCTAGACTAAAATCTTATCTGGAATTCAACAAGGGCCGTAACTAAGGTCTTTTTGCTATAAGCAAACATTCATTTGTTTTTAAAGTCAGTTATGCCTTTCATGCTTTCGATGGACTTAAAATGGTAGGCACCTTTACTATAGGTTTAAAAGAGGAGATATATCAATCATATATCAATTTTTGTCAAATTTGGAACGAGGCATTTTGGCTTACAAACATACATATCTGAAATATTTGCAATACAAGATCAATTATGCACAACAATAGATCTTGGGAACCCCAAATCAAGCATTAACAAGTAATATTCAGTACAGTTCCACTAATAACAGAACAGTACTATAAGGCTATTTCAGAAAAAGATTGCCCCAACAATTATTATAGCATTATCATAGAAACCCAAACACAATTCCTACCTTCTATCTTGAGATCAGCGCTAGTTTTAATGTCACCAAGTTCGTTCTTAGCAACGCAGGTATAATAACCTCCATCTTCAAGGTCAAGGTCTTTAATAGACAAGGTGGCGACACCATCTTTATAAGCGGTCTTGAATTTCTTACCTGGTTCCAGCTCATCACCATCCTTCAACCTAGAAACAGACGACCCATCACTAGCAACAATCTCGTTTTTAACAGCCGTCAAAACTTCTTCAAGACTCAAAACATGTTCAGACGACACTTCTTCTGCTGGAGGGGGATCTTCTAATTGTGTGAAATTAAATGACGATTCCACTTTTTCCTGAATTTCTGATCGGATCTGGGCTATTTCTGCATCTAGTTCCTGAGTATCTGCTTCCAAAATGTTCACAGAGCTTTCAGTAATGGTGTCCTCAAGGTCTACTTGCTGGGTTGATTCGTCCACGCTGAGGATATCAAAATCACTAACCACAGCTTCGCGCTCATCATCAGGACATTCTATGTCTGATTCGGGGATCGTTGTCAATTCACATTCCTCAAAATCGCTCAACAACGATTCGTTTCCAGTATCTATGGAAATCTCGGAACTGACTTCCTCACGATGACGTTTATAATCAACCGTGGTAACGAGAGTTTCAGTTTCGCTCGCTACGCTACTTGTTTCCATGGAGTATCCAACATCCAGCTCATCTTCAGTAGAAGCATCAGAGAATCTTCTCCTGGGTTTCTTCTTCTCGTTACGATCAGACAAGAATTTGGAAACCAGACTTTTGGAAACTAACGGCGCTGCTGGAGGAATCTTAAACTGTTCTAGAATATCTGACTTGACTGATGATTTACGTCTATTTTGAAATTGTTCCCCGCTATCAAAGGTAGCGGCTGCAGCACGAACTCCTGCCACTACATTCTCCTGCCCCTCCATCATCTCCAGGTCCTGAAAGGGGCACTGATGAGGTTCCCCTTCTGGTCCATCGTGATGGGGACACTTGTGCTTCAACAACCAGAATACCATACTCATCTTGGCAGTTTTTGAGGTTTATCTTGCGATTATTTTAAATATTCACTCAGATATCAAATAATCAAAACTGATACACAAACAAAATCATTTATCAATGTCTGCTAATTCCAAAAAGTATGATTCAATTTTATTTCATCAAAACAGAAACTAGATATAAAAAACACTTCAATAGAACTGATAATTCCTTCAAATCAAGCCAATATATTAACAGAAACACAAGATGTTGAAGTATGTTTAGAAAGTGGAATTAGTAGTTATCAAAGTTTGTTTATCTCTATAAATGATGTTTATATCAAACTTGGCAGATAATTTCCATAACGTAACTATTTTCTCTCCAAATTTCTTAAATTCTTTACCAGAAATATACCTGTAGTTCTAGATACACCTGAACTGTTTTTACAGGTATTCTCTGTTTTATCAATCTTATCTTATATTGAAAATAACGCTACTTGATCATAAAAACACTGATTGATTCTAAATTGCTTTGAATTTGATTGAGTCTTGAAATCTTCCGATCAGTTGTTTTGTTTTCTTTCATTTTTTTTAAATTAATAAAAAAAAATATACCAATTTCTTAACATAAACAGTCAAAAATCAAAAGAGTTAATGCTTCTTTATACACAAAGTTTTTCGAATTTATCATCCCTTTTTTTTTAGAGAGTTCACACAATAATACCGTCTATTTTGTGTTTCACATGTTATCTATATGTTAATTTGTAAAGGTATGTTTGAAGTGAAGAGTCACTCACAAGAAACAATCCAAATCAGAGATAACTTTAATACAAAGATAAGTGTTGGTGATATAACTTTTTTGATTAATTCTTGTAAAGTTTGTTTCACAGCAAGCACAAATAAAATTCAGAAAGTTTTGGTATTTTGAATGTTAAATCTAGTTTATTAATCATCAAGTCTGGGTATAAAATAAAATTAACAACAGGTGGGAATTAAATGTATCAATTAGAATATTGGATCATCTTGACCTGTGGTATTATTATTCCCTTCAAATTATCAAATCTTTTGTAAATTACTGATTTTTTCCAAACTTTGAATTTTTTCATTAGTGGTCTTTCATCAAATTTGTCTTTCATCAGTCAAACACTTATTTTTTCAACAATATTTTCCTCAGGCTACATCCAATTGAGGTTCCAAAATTGAAAATCACTTTATAACTTAAACCAGATCTCTAAATTTCCAAACCAAGAATTGAACTTTAAATCCAGGAAATATTTTCCAAAAGTATTCAAAAATCACACAAAGTAAAAGAGGACGCCAAAAAAGTTCCAGCAGAATCAACCTTTTATATATGACTTTCCAAGTTTTTACGGAACAGATTCCACAAGAAATAATCCAATATCCACAAAACACATCAACTCTTTTCCAAACTTAAATCACTGTTAATATTTGGGAAAGAGTTTTTGATCGAAAAAGAATCTGTTCCCAACTTGTTGTCGAACCAGTGGCCTTCTGCTGCCAATTTCAAGTTATTTTTGATTCTCTCAGCCCAGAGTAAGATAGATTACATGTTTAAAGACGAGAAGGCGAGAAGGCAGGAGTATAGGAACAGTGCCAACAATTTAACCTTTTAAATCTGACTTTACCTAGCATATGTCTCAATACAGATATATTAAGTAACGAGTAGGTGTATATATGTTCTTCATCAACAAATCATTAAACCTCCACAATAATTGTTCTTTTCATATTACTTCACTATCTATTATTATACTAATTACAGTTTTAATCAGGCTTGTTCATTAACTATAATCTGCCTTAATTTCTTCTGTTGTTCTTTTGTTCTGTACCTTATTGTCTACGAATATAAACAGAGATTTTATCCTACTGTTCTGTATCCTATTGGACTAATGAAATGAAATGGAGTTTTATATCCTACTGTTCTGTATCTTATTAGACTAATGAAATGAAATGGAGTTTTATATCCTACTGTTCTGTATATTATTGGACTAATGAAATGAAATGGAGTTTTATATCCTACTGTTCTGTATCCTATTGGACTAATGAAATGAAATGGAGTTTTATATCCTACTGTCCTGTACCATATTGGACTTATGAAATGAAATTGAGTTTTATATCCTACTGTTCTGTATCCTATTGGACTAATGAAATGAAATGGAGTTTTATATCCTACTGTCCTGTACCATATTGGACTTATGAAATGAAATGGAGTTTTATATCCTACTGTTCTGTACCATATTCGACTTATGAAATGAAATGGAGTTTTATATCCTACTGTTCTGTACCTTATTGGACTAATGAAATGAAATGGAGTTTTATATTCTACTGTTCTGTATCTTATTGGGCTAATGCAATGAAATAGAGTTTTATATACTGTTGTTCTGTATCTTATTGGACTAATGAAATGAAATGAAGTTTTATATTCTACTGTTCTGTATCTTATTGGACAAATGAAATGAAATAAAGTTTTATATCTTACTGTTCTGTACCTTATTGGACTAATGAAATGAAATGGAGTTTTATATCCTACTTTTTTGTATCTTATTGGACTAATGAAATGAAATAGAGTTTTATATCCTACTGTTATGTACTTTATTAGACTAATGAAATGAAATGAAGTTTTATATACTACTGTTCTGCACCTTATTGGACTAATGAAATGAACTGGAGTTTTATATCCTACTTTTTTGTATCTTATTGGACTAATGAAATGAAATGAAGTTTGATATCCTACTGTTCTGCACCTTATTGGACTAATGAAATGAAATGGAGTTTTATATCCTACTTTTTTGTATCTTATTGGACTAATGAAATGAAATGAAGTTTTATATACTACTGTTCTATATTTTATTGAACTAATGAAATGAAATGGAGTTTTATATCCTACTTTTTTGTATCTTATTGGACTAATGAAATGAAATGGAGTTTTATATTCTACTGTTCTATATTTTATTGGACTAATGAAATGAAATGAAGTTTTATATCCTACTGTTCTATATACCTTATTGGACTAATAAATTGAAATGTATTTTTTTACCTTCTATTTGTTCAGATATAACAGAAATAGATACGATTACAAGTTTATCTATAAATGCAGACAACCTGAATATTAGTCTGGGTGTATCCAATTAATTTTAAAACAAGAACATGTTAACCTGGCAACCAGTCAAAATTCAATAACTCTATTATTGTTTATTGAATATTTTGAAGAAAACATGTTTATTAGATTACACAGAAAATATTGGAAAACAAAACAAAACTAGCAAAAGTGCAACTCCTCTGCTATCAAAACAAAAACACAAACTTATACAAGTTTCTTTAAAGGGATTGTATAGAGGTTTTCTAAATTTTTTATGTGTATCAGGGACACTGTTAGCATCAATTTGTACCAATTTTCAATCAGATGTCTGTGGTTCCTGCAATTCCACCAAAACTGAGTGTTTGATGACATCATAAGTCATTAATCGTGAAGGGCATTATGTGATGAAGCAAATTGCAAAATTGGTGATTTTAAGTCAGTTTTCTGCTTTTGATGCTGCAATCAGATATTTCATTATTATAGCAAGTGTATGCCATGTTTGTCCTTACTGTAGACTATCTTTTACTCGTTTATCCCTGTCAGAAAACCTAAATTAACCAAATTGAGATTCCCTTGTGAAACTCCCAAAGGATCTAAGAACATTTTTCTGTATGGTCATACATTACGCTAATTCCAAGGTATCTACCGTGACAATATTAAGCAATCAGAAGTATAGAAGTACGTTAGATATGAAATACGAGCAAGCGACTGGATGACAAAAAAAGTATATCAGGTTAGACTCAGTGATGTTTCTATGAATCACTAGGTGAGCGTTGATCCAAGGAAAGGCTACAGATCAATTTTTCGTTACTATGGTATTTCTCCATGCAAAAATTAACACTTACGACAAATTCTTATCTGAGATTTTTTGTGGAATGAGGCCCAGAATTGTCAAATAAGTTAAAGGCATTGACTTTTACAAAGTACAGAAAGCGTACAATTTGGTGCAGGGGTGGGAGTGCAGCACAGCCTCCCCCAGTCCCCTCTGGAGAAACGCCACCGACCAGACTTCTATTAAAGTAATAATAACATGATATTGAACATCTTGTATAAGAGGAGAATGATATAAGACTGTATTCTAACATCTGTTGATAATCAAGGTGGAGATAACAGAATGATAGAAATATTGTTTATATCACACCTAGAATCTAAATATCTACCTTTATAATGTGTATTTCATTAACTTCCTTTTCATCCAGTCTTAGTCATTCTTTCTTATATAATATTGTAATACTCTAAGCTCTGTGAGAATATGCTTATTGGTTAAGCTGAAAGACCAGGATTCAATCTCTAAATGGAAAGAGCATCTAGTCTTTCAGACGGGGCAATAAACCGAAGCCCTGTGTGTTAAATGTTGTGTATATTAAAAATCCCTCAAGAAGTTTGATACTGGAAAAAGAATTGGCTAGTATCCTAGTAGAACTTACAGGTTCTAAGAAATTAATATTGTTCTTGTATCATACTTGCTATAAATTTGGTTGTTTTGCTTGTAATTCAAAATAACTTCTTTCAAAATTAAAAAAAAACATCCCAATTGCCCAATTTAGGTCTTATAATCTCTCCATGAATAAAATATATCATAATTGTTTCATCTTAATATAAAATTGTTGATGTATTAGAATCGCAGCAAAATATTTTGGATACACAATCAGACATTACTGGCTAGTACACCCAAATCAACAGCTCTGAGAGATTTTGAAAATGTTCCAAATTAAGAAAATTGTCATGTTACATAACATTGCTAATCAATCAAAGGTAGATAACAAGGTAGAATGTAAATTTGGTTCGTGTATCTATTTTGTTACCTTTCTTAATCATTTACTATAAATAGCCTCTCAGCTGCCAAATGTTTTGGAAAAGATTCAATAACAATAACTCATGAAAAATAAAATGGAGGCGTTGGAAACTTACAAAAAACATCACTTTTACTGACCTCTTGGTTTTAAAATGT